TATGTATGTATGTATGTATATCATATATCACATATATATATACACATATATTCTGTCTGTCTGTCTATCTGTCTGTATGTATGTATGTATGTATGTATGTATGTATGTATGGCAAGAAAGCTGTGGCACTGGCCTTCGTGGTCGTCGTCGTCGTCGTCGTTGCCGCACTCCTTCGCCTTCGATGATGCGCAGGTTCACACCTTGCTGTCCTAGACAATTGTCCAGGATTTCAAGCTGGAGCTCCTGCGCAAGCATGGGTGAGGCTCTGAATGTCTTTGGTGCCATGCTTTTTCCTTGCTGTCCGTTCAGTCGCATATCCTGGCGGATGAACCTCTGTGCAGCTTCCATTTCTGCCTTAGTGACCTAGCCTGTCGTAAGCATCGCCCGGACCGAGGTTACGGACTTCTTACAATGATTTCTTCAGCGGCCCGGACTTGATGCCCGACATGCCGCCACTGCAGGCCAGGCCACGTCGGCTACTTCGTCTTCCTTGTTTTTTCTCTCTTCTATCTCTCGGAGAACTGTTCATCCCTGTAGGTTTTCAGCGATGCGAATGATGACTTCGCTGCGCCGCCGGTCTGGCCCCCTAAAGTGCCAGCCATTGGTCGGTCAGGGAGTTAGACTGCACAAGCCACAGAACTGCTTGCAAGTAAGGTAGGTTTGGCGGAAATCAATGCATCCGGCCCACGGCGGCGAGACTTCATCCTCGAAGAGGTGTGATGCACACCGCCATGATTACGCGTCATCGAGACGATTTCGACTCCAACGTTTATGCAGCCTGCGGAGTTGTTGCTGGGGTCCGGTCGAGGAGTGCTCTCGACTCTCGACCCATCATTGGGAGGTTCAGCCGGGCCAAGATGGGCGGCGTCCGGTTGACATCCCGATCCAGTCACCGGGCGAGGCGCAGGTGCTTTGGGCCAGTAGATGTCGGTGGACTGTCTGGTGTCCGGTACACGGTGCTAGGCTGCTACGGTCGGAGATCCGCTGCAGAGTGCACTTGACATTGATCGCAGGCTTTCGCAGCAAACTACGCTGCACAGCCCTTACTGCAGCGCTGTTTGTGAGCTCCTCCAAGTGCGACCGTTCATGCTAGCTTGAGGCCGCGTCTCATGTCCCTGTTGATGTGGACCTTGTCAGGGACTGGATTGGCTTGTTTCAGACAAGTTCCGTTGTCATCAGAATGCTTGCAAGGCGAAAAATCAGATAATCCCCGACGACCCTGCAGAGGCACGCTTCTACATACTTAGACGCCGCGCAGTCCCATGACCCTTCCCAGCAGCTAGGGTACGGGATTTAGGTTTGTGACTGCGCTCAGTGAGAGCAGCCTTGACAGACATCGGGCACCTTTGACGACAACCCAGAGGAGGAAGTCCAGTACTGGGTGATGGAGGTGCCTCAACACACCTTCTCCAGGGTCTGCCGCAAAAGCAGCGATGAAGAGAGCGGAAGAAGCCAGGCCT